AGCTTGAAAGTTTTTCCTTTTGCAAGCTTTCTAATTACTATATGATCAAAAATGGATAAATTCTATATTTTAGAATTTCTATAGCAATATGATTGTTAATAATAACATTTTCGAGCACCCACTTGATTCTCCACTCCCAACTTGCATAACCACCCTCAACTATGCCTTTTGATTTTTATAGTTTGATTCTATCCTTTTATTACTTTCTTTTTCGCTTTATACATTCCTTTTAGTTATTCTCTTCTAAGCTAAGAGGGTAGCTTTGCACTTTCTACTATGCCTTAACATATATTCTTAGGGATGAATCTACTCATTAGTCTAGGGAGTGGTTATTTAATCTTGATATGCTCACCTTAACCTTCTGGAAGCCCTAGATTCCAAATTATGGCGAGAGATCATGAATATTTGCAAAGATTTATATCACCATCTCCAGCTTTCGTCAACCTTGGAAATTGGATAGCATCTTCTATCCATTTTTTTTTAGAGACTTAGTCTGATGGGTCTTATCTAATGCCTCCATAATATCTCAACACCACCTCTTTGGTGTTTTAAGGTGTTTATATGTTTCAGTGATGCATTTCCCAAACAATGAACATTTCTTATTATAACACTTACCCATTATAATGCAATGCAAGCAATTTATTCCCCAAGAGATATATCTAACCTCTTCCTTGCTCAACCAAAAAGTCTCAAGAAGTTAATTCTAACAAATTATTCCAAACCTTTGCTTAGTTGTTTCATAGTTATCATATTCTACAACTCATTGTTGATGCTTCTACACATCCATCAATATTTGGTCAAAGCACTTAAATTGCATGTCTTCCATCTTAAACTATGCCAATCCCATTTTCATTAACATTCCTTTATTAAGAGGTTCTTATAAACCAATCAACTTCACCTCAAAACATTACATATTGGAATATTTAGTGTCTCCACACCATCAACAGTATAAACCTACCCTCACGATACGTCCCACTTGTGTCTAAATTTTTCCCAAAACAATAGTAATAATTTTTTATGTTAACTATCGGTTAGCATACAATATAGTGTTCATCCACAACTCCTCACTAAAATTACTTTCTTTAATAAACATCTTTTCATGACTTTAGTATGGCATATTCTGCTATCAATGAAATACCCACTATTCTTATATTTAAATCTCAAGATTTTCCTATTTCTCCAACACACTTCTATCTAAACAGAGTTCTCCAAGCTTTTGGGACTATCCCTTAACTCTACTAAGTTATCTAATTTTTAGACTTTGTTAATTCAACATTCCATAAAGCTGTAGCCTCTTTGCTACTTTTGAGGTGCCACCACACTTTAATACAACTTTTTGTATTAACATTCTATTCATAAAGACCATCTTTATAAGTGTTACTCTAACACTTGATTATCCTTTGTTTTACATAGGTTACTTTTGCCCATTGGAACTATCCTTCCATATAAGAATAACACTAACTCATCCTTTGAGTACACCTCCGAAATTCTTTGGGTTGTTCTGATTTTTATTAAATGTAGCCCCAACTACCATTTCAAGGACATATATCTTTATTCATATTTGACCTTTTACAATCACCAACCTTTCATGGTTATTAATTCTAATTTCAAATTCATAAGCACCATCTTTAACCACATGAGGATAATCTATCGACTCCTTTATTGTCCAAAGTCTCTATCTTTTCTATGATCCCAATTATAATTGTTTATCACAACCATATTAGCCAATTTGCTAAGTCAAACATTTATATAAATCACATCCTCAACTTTCTACAAAAAACTTTCTATTGTTTCCAAAATCCTAAAGTCATTCCTTTATTAGTCATTTTCTATCCTCTACATTGCTTACACATTCACATATGAACTCAAATGGAAAGTCATGCCCTCTTGACATACCACTCCTTGAGAGGATAGACCCACTCTTAGGACACTTTGATGCCAATATCAAGTGGTGATATATCTGACCACCAATAAAAGTTAAACTAAAGAATAGTTTCAATACCAAATTGTAAATGACTAAATTTTCCATTCTATTTTAGTCACTTTACCACACCTTTAACCATTTGAAGTCTCACTTATAACCTTCATAAGTTCTATTCCTAACTTGGAAACATGCTAACCCCATGAATAGCATCTATGCCATTTAGCCTTTGCACTTGTTCCAAGTGCTCCATATATCTAATCCCATGATAAACACCTCAAAGGTATTATTGGAATTTTAACCTATTACTCTAAGGCCATATCCATTTACTATTGCCTCACTAGTAGTCCAAAACCATCTATACCATAATCCCTTCTCCCAAAGACTAGAAAGTGCTATATATACTTCCTTATAATTACACTAATGATTTTAGGAAGGTGGAAAATGGTAACAATGAACAGATGAGATTATCAACCATTCCATGGGAATTGCCTAGAAAATGATTGATGAAAAAGGATAAATCATAATATTCTATATGGACAAAAAGTCAACACTGGTATATAAAGAATTCCAAAAGTATGCACTTAATATTCATATAATTTTCAATGACTATCCATTTGGATATAATGGATGACTTGGGAAAGATAAAGGTTTGTGTAATATTAATCATCTAGGAAAATTACCATTTTAATTTTTGCAGAAAATCAACTCTAAAAATAAAGCTAGTAAAACTAAAAAAAGTTGAACCATGGTTTACCGCTACTACATTTAACAAATGGGACCTCAATAATGATTTTTTCAAGTTCATAAAAATATTTTAACACTATATGACAATGACGCAAACTTGATTAGGAGGGTATATAATTCTTTGACTTCTTAATACATTGTACCACACCGAACAAAGGCGTCATTTTGGATCTATTTGCAAGAATAGGAAGCTCACTTGTGGTAGCAGGAACAAACAAGTGCTACCTTTTGTCTTTAGAAGAAGACTCTGAAATCCTAATAATCTCAAACAAGAAAAGGAAGAGTTAGTAGTTAAGATGAAGAAGGGTAAAGGTAAAGAACCAATTTTTGAACTTCTAGGTGACTCTAATGAAGAAGTTTAAATTCGAAATTTTGAAGATGATTAATAGCTTTTAAATAAGTAAGTTTTGACATAATTATCACTTATTTAAATTTAACTATATCTTTACTTAGTTTTATATGAATGTCTTTAATATATTCTCATTTCTTACATAATTTCTAAGCTTCTGAAATGGAATTATATAAAAAAGAAAACATATGATAACTTGATAAAATAGAAAACATATAACACTAAAAAATTAAAACATTGGACTCCATCTTATGGTTGTCGGTTTCTTCTTTAGAAACATTGTCGTCTTCATCATCTCAATTATCAGATACATCACTATCACTATTTGCAAAAGAAGATTTCACCCCATCTTTAGCTAGATGAGTTTTCTTGGGTGGGGAGGAGAAACTAGAGTGGAAGTTAGAGTGTTAAACTTTGGTATTAGATTATAATGGATTTTAGTGATGAAATTGGAGAGAAAATAAGTATGGGCCACGTAGTCCCATCATCATCCTCAAAATGTAATATGGGCCCATTTCACCTAAATTCTCTATCAACATCTTTAGACCTTGCTATTCTCATTTCTACAAGGATAAAATATAAGAGCCTAAAGATGTTGATAGAGAATCTAGATAAGAGACAAGGCAATATTTTGGCAGTGGCTAAGAATTTGGACGACCATATAAAGAATGTGGAAAAACTTTGGTGGATCACTTGATAAACCTGACCTTAATGAAAGACTAAAAACTTCATTCATTTAAAGTTCCTCTTCCAAATTTAAGAAACATTTGAAATCTATCAAGTCAAATTTTAAAAAACATTAGAGTCTGATATTTGAATCTGACTCTACAAAAACCAAATAATATGCAATAAATTTATCATGATCAAAATATAATACGGTCAAACTTTTTCAGGTAAAAATTAACTTACTTGATTTCACAATTATATTAAAATATATTATTTTATTTATATTAATAAAAATGATAAAACTACATATTAATTTACAATACAAAATAAAAATTCTAATAAGTCAAATAAAATTCAGAATATCAGAATCTTAAAAGGTATATTCTAGGTCTATTTAAGAACATACTACATATCCAATCTACCAGGCTTAAACCTTATCCCCGAAGTTTTCATCTCTGTCCAGCTTAGTTTTTAGTTTTGTTGTTTTCATGTGTCGAGGTGCCACCTGTTCAGTGAGCCATTCAGGTGAGAAGTCTTCATTAAGCTGTTTCTTAAGCAAATCTCCATGGAGTGAAACGTGAGTGTCACTTACCCTTTTGTAGAGCCTCTGAAAGCATTGAAGTGGATTAAGCAAAAAGCTTGTACTCAAGGTTTTCATAGATTCTTATCCTCTTGCTTCTCTTTTTTTCACTCCTGCAGGCTCCTGAGCTACAAGATCTTTTCTTTTCTAAAGATAGAGCTTTGTGTAAGAAGTTTTCTCAAGTTTTTTTGCAGAAGAGTTCTTATTCGCTTCTTTTGGTTTGCGCTAGGACGTGTTTGCTGCTGAGGGAAATGCAATATCTACTGGATGGAACTGGATGAGGTTGTGCTACGGAACAAGATCATTCTCGAGCTACTACTCACGCTCCCAAGGTTTGTTTCTCAATTTGAGTCGTTTTCTTATGCTATTTCATCAACGTTTCCTTTTCTTTTAGAAGAGGAAGCACGGCTTTCATTAGTATTCAAAGCCTTTAAATCAACACGTAATTCACCTTGATCTATTGAGGTGCAATCTTTTTCCGAATGGCAGGCAAAGTTACAGCTCTTGAACGACCTCGAGATGGTGGAGATGAAGATCGTGACAATTAGAGCTTGCTGGAATAGGTAGCACTTGATCAAATCTTCCTTTCCTCTTTGTTTCATCTGTGTAATTCTCACCTTCTGGAAAGGAATTGGCAGATGAAGTTCTAACGAAATGATTAGCTACAAACTAATCTTGATCTAAGCTCTGTTGGAAATTTGAATTTCCCGCCCTTCGCCAAAAACCCTAGTCCTACGATGAGCTTTGGGATTAACAAGCCAAGCGCCGGCGAGCTCGCGTCACTCTGCGGATCATACGACAGGTTTGAGCGCCAAGTCCCTCGCGGCGGCGATCCCAGGCGGCTGGATCTTTTGCGCTCCCGGCCGCTGCCGCCGCCGCCGCCGCAGAGCCAGCAGCAATCCTTCTCGTCCTCGCAATCCTGGCGAGAATCTCAGGTCACGGCCAGGGATCTGGTCCCTCGGCCACTCCCAATCTGTAGCCGATCGGACGATGTGATCGAGGAACGGCTGGCTGCTCTGGAAAATCTCGTGGCCGGGGTTGCGGAGAGCGTCAGCTCCATGCGAAAGTCTCTGGACGATCAAAATCGCGAGGTCTCTTTCATGGTGCGTTCTTTCTTTTTTTTGTCCTGCTCTCTTTATCTAATGTTTTTTTTCCTCTTGTGAATGGAAGTTGAAAGAGGAGGAAGGCACCATCAAACGAGTGGTCGATCAGATCCAAGCTGTGCCCGCGAAGCTGTCCGGGGATCTCAAAGCAGCACTCCGAGAGGAAATCAAGCAAGCGCTCTTGGAGTCGGACGAAAAAACTGTGAGCCAATGCATCCCGTCAAAGGATCCGAGAGACAAGACTCCGTCAAGTGTGGAAACAAAAGAGAAGAAAGGATCGAATAGCAAGAGGAAGTCAGCAAGTGCGGAGGAGCAACGATCTGACGGTAAGACTCTGCTTTTCTTTTTCGTCTTAGCTTTATCAGATTCTCGTACTTTGCAGATTCCACGACCTTGGATCTCTATTCCCCAAGCGCAAAGGAGCTCAAGAAAATGCGAGACAAGGTCCTCAGAGCTCGAAGGAGCATTAAGAAACGAGTTTGACGAGATCCTGGTACGAAGAAACTTTTTCTGTTTTAAATAAAACAGTAATGTGATTTTCCAGGAAGTGAACGAGAACAAATTGGCGAGGTGGAAACTATAATGAATCGATCAGGAAACTATGAGATGAGCTACGGGACGGCGTCCTTCCGAGCCACATCTTCAAATTCCTGGCCCAAGTTGCTCCGCTACCGGTCTTTGAGCTCGTGCTCAAAGCTGAGCAGCGTCTCGCGAATTCTCGGCAAAAACGACTCGAGTTCCTTGGCGAGCCGGTTCTTCTCCGCTGCGGGCAGGCCCTCGTCCTTGGTGAAGTCGACCTCGATCTAAATCAACCAAGGACGAATCCATCAACTTGGTATGCGCAACTTGATCACCAAAGAGCTAAACTTTTACCTGGAGATCGTCCAGCTCGCCACAAGATGCGTCCAGGAACTTGAGAGTTCCCGTCAGGTCCTTGAATTCGTCGAACAGCAAGCTCCCTGTAGCAACATCGATCACTCCCTCGAAACAAACAAGAAAAAGAAAGAGAGAAAAACAGTACCTTGGAATCCTAGAGTGATGTCGAAGGAATACCCAATGCGCTTCTTGTTACGCACCGTCACGACTGTGGCCTGCATCCATCGCTCACTTAGAAATCTCGGAGAAAACGAAACCAAAGAGAGAAAAAGAAAGAGAATCTTTCGTTCTTACATCTCCACTGCAGCCCACAACTTCCGTGACTCGAGCCGATCCATCAGCGTACTCGATCGGTTCCAGCGCAAGGAGCATTTCCTGGGAGCAAAGGAGCACGAAATTTTTTCTCTCCAACGAAAGAACCCAAGCTCATACCTTTAACCTCGCAATTGCCCACGAATTTAAGTTCTTCTCCTCCCATGTCCCCAGCTGCAAGAAGAAGAATGCGAGATTTCATTCAACGAATTCCATCCGAGGCACGAGATCTACCTGATTCCACGCCGAGCCGACGCGATTTTGCCGCGAGACGAGCGAATCCCCCTCGGCGGCCGTGAGCTTGCGAGGGACTTCCGCTTGGCAAGTCGCCTCGCGGACCCAGTAGGTGTAGGACGCAGATTTGCCGATGGCGGCATCTGCTGGAGCATCCATTGACGCTTAACAAGAAACAACACTGGCCCCTTACCGCGACCTCGATCGATCGAGCCCCAACCGGCTAGAGTGGAGGAACCCTAAAAGCACGCCAATCGTCCAATTTAGGGCTCCTAGAGATTGGTCTTTAGTGGCAGCGGCCGAGCTGTGGCTTTGCGGCGAGCCCTACCGCCCACGGCAAGAATCTGTGAAGCTGCCCACAGCGAAATCTCGCGCCTCAAATCAGCCCCCTGGAACGCGGAGAATCGGTTCTAGAGGTTGACCAGGCTCTACATTTTCCTACTCTTTCCTTTGTTCCAGCTTCTGGACGGAAGAAGCAAATCTAGCATTGCTTCTATGCTCTAGCTAGGTGAGCGTCCCTCGAAGCTGGGAGAGCAAAATTTTCACTCGGTACTCCTCTGGAAGCCACTGTCATTCTTCTCTGAGGCTCAAATGGGTGAATACACAGAGTGTTCTTCGTTACCCAGGAGGATCTCAAATTCTTTGCCGCCAGGCAAAGCCGAGAACAAAAAATGGTGCGAGCACTCACTGACCACTGGATTTCCTCGCCAGTCTCCATTTTTCAAACCTAAGATCCAAGCTATACGATTGCTTGGGTACACTTTTGGAGCATGATACTTTTCTCGACATTCAATGAGCACATTGGTGGTAGTGGACGTAAGAGCCATCTTCACAGCAATGTGGAAACACAGAGACAGAGAGGGAGAGAGAGAGAGCTCCTCTCATTCAGAAAGAACAACTACTTTGTCGTGCAGAAGTTTTTCCTTGAGCAGCTCCACTCGGGTGTACCCGGATTTACTGCCAGAGCATTGGCCTCGTAGCGTCTCAACTTCTTGAACCGGCTGCTCGTCAACTGGATGATGCTCCCCTCAGCTGGTGGAACCATGGGATCAGGCATCCCAGATACAGTCCTATTGCACCACTCTCGAGCAGCAGCCATCTTTTGCATTACCGTGCGTACGTCAACATGCACCTTGCCTTCCAGTGCAGCTTCGAAAGAAAGCACATACCGTGTATGCTCCAAACACCAACATGGCTTCCATCTCGCAGTGACCTGAGAGATTCCTTCTGAACTTCAGGCGCCCTCCCGGTTGTACAAACAAAAACATAATCCAGCTGCACAAGCTTATTCCGTGTTGCTTCCAGGACCCATACCACTTCTCCAGCTCCCGAATGCTCATGAACTCTGATTCTGAGTGCAGATGCCTTTTAGTAGAGAACGGAATGGAACTAAGCTGAGTGATGAAGTATCAGGCAGGATCAGTCACCAGTCCCTTTCGAGAAATGACGTCGTTACAGAACCGTTCACACAGCCACCCAGCTTCACTCCAATCCATAAGTGAACTGTGGACTACTGCGCTCGCATAAGCCACCCAAGGGTCATGATCATCACCAGCATGCTTGTTTCGAAACTCCTCCACGTAAATTTGCTGAATGACAGAACATTCACTTTTCGACATATGCATACCTAGGATCCACATTTATAATCCGGTGCTGAAATCTCCTTTAGCTTTCATTGACGCCCTTATAGCTGCTATCAACGAAAGAGGAGATGACTGAATCCCAGTCTTCAGAGCTGTCTAACAGGTCACTGACTTCCTCGGGCGTCAAGTCGAACATTGGAGCCTCGAACCAAAATCCATCCGCCTCTACTCTCACCCGTTCCCGTCCAACCAGTTTCTTAGAGGCAATTTCGATGCAGGTCTTATCCAAGATATCCAGAGAGTGTGGGTGCTTGGCTGCGTAATACTCCACATCGCGTTGTCTATCCTGGTCATCACCAACCACAGCACCTAGAACTGAGGCATGCTGCATAAACGTCTGCAGTTGTTCCTGCAAGACAGTCCACATAAGCATAAACATGAAAGTAAGAACGATCACATACCTTGGTGAATCCTTCTGAATGAAAGATTGTCGGTTTTTCATCGAAGGTTCTTTCCACTTCCGTGAAGTGCCAGGCATCGGGTGAGAGTCCAAAAATCACTTTGTAGTTCCCAACAATGTCCTTCAACGACTCCTCCGCTTTAAAACGCTTCTTGCGATCTGGTTTCTTTAATACAAAGCCGGGGCACCATCGACAATAAAAGTGAAATCATCCCCCAAGGACGTTCGCTTCTTCAGAAAAGCCTTCAGCGAAAGACCTCAGCTGTGACGTCGGGTTGCTCTGCATACGAAAACTTGAGCTCATCAACAAACCAATGAACGAGGCAAGCGCTGGCTAGTTCCACGCTACCACCCATTAACATCCAGTGACTTTGCAGATGTTCCAGATACACACCACTTTTCTAGTAGAAACGGAGCACATAAGTGAGGTCAATGCCCTGAGCTTGCAAGACTTCCCGTCGCCCTTGGGACCGACCAGCAGGAATTCCTGACCAGGACGCATATCACGAATCCACCTCCGAGCTAGATCCTTCAAGTCCGGCAAGCCCCTCCTCTGCCTGGCCTTGGACCTGGTTCCAAAGTGCCTAGGTAAGGAACTTTGTTTACCTTAGACACATTCTACAAGTTCTCATACTTGCGCTTCCCGTCGTCCTCCTTAATCAGCTTCCAGGCTGCAGCACTCTACCACCATTCTGGATTCTCTATTCTCTGAGAACCCTAAAAGTAAAAAGAAGTTTATCACGATGAATATTCTAAGAGGGAGGTGGTTAAGACTCTCTGGATGGATGCTGACACGTGAGGCAGTCCCAATCAGAGAGTTGCAGTGGCACTATATTTGCTACCGTGAGAAGGCCAAGCCTGGAGGCATTCTTCCACGCACTCTAGATTCTCCACTTTTCACCAATTCAAAAGAGTGTGGTGTGATCGTCATCAACTCTATCAATGGTTTCAAAGGAAACTCTCATCCGTGAATATGGTAAGGTGGTGATTGTGCCAAGTCCAGATGCTTTTGATCGTAGCGTCTACACTCTTGAGGCTTTTACCTGGGGTTTTGGGATCTCGGACGTTTCCAGAGATGACCTTGCCTTGGTACCAGTGGCGGACCTTGTAAGTAAGTTTTTGTTCGAGATTGTTTAGTGTTCAACTGACCCTGATATATAGTTGCTTTCGCATAGGCAAATCATGGCTTCGGGCTGACCAATGAAGATCCTAGCTAGAATGCCAAAGTTTCCTCTTGCAAGGATCTCACCTCGCCAACAAAGTAGCTAGCATTACTATGCAGCTCTTCTCCTTGATCGAGGATTCCTCGACTGATAGAAGCATACAGGTTAAGTTCTAAACTTCCGCAAAGAAGATCATCTCATCAGTGGAGAGCTAGGAAGAAATGAGAGAGGACATGAAGGATTTCATCTGCTTGTGGACAGATCATTGCTCCATGCGTTAGAGGCTGTATCTCATGGCGTCGTCTATGAGATAGAGGCCTCGTGAGCTTATGATTTTAAAATAGCAATATTTCTATCTTAAATTTCTAAAATTGGCTAATACTTTAAAAATATTTAATAAATATCTAAAAATATTAATTTTGAAGCACAAAAAATTATTATCATCTGATAAAAACTCTAAACTGCTATTATTACACATTCAAATGCTTAATATTATATTATTTACTTCTTGATATATTTTAAGTATTAGGATGCTAAATGTAAAGCATATATTCCCAGAAAGATATATAAACTAATATATTTTGTCAATGAAAAGTTTGCCATCTTAGTCTCGACAGGGAACTTGGAAAAGCAGCAAGAAGGAAATAAGACGCAGTAGTGGAGACGAATTTTTCAACGAATTTGATCTCTTTCCCAAGACAAAGTCTAGCAATTACCTACGCCAACCACGTATATAAAACACCCGATCTAAAATGAAATGAAACACACACTTCTCTTCTAAAGATCGTCAAGGTCCAACTATTTATTTGGATATTTGTCCTTTTCAGTGGCAATGAAGTCGATAGCCATGGCGCGTGGTGATGCATGAGTTCAATAATATATATTATATAAACTGTGAAAAAAACTAAAGATGTTGCCTTTACTCATCTGGATTCACTCGTGTGTTGTTCTATGTCCCAGCATTATAGAAAAGAAAAGGAATTGACAAACTCGGAACGATTTCCTCGACTAACTTTCAAAGGACAAAGTGATGCCGCCCCAAGAGACGCCACAGCATTGTATGCTGCCTCCAGCTACAAATACGAGTGGCCTCACAGATCAAATCACTTCTCTCGAATATACTCGTTGAACTTTTAGTTTTAGCAGCAAATCATGGAGAACCAAGGCTTGCTTGGTGTTGTTTTCGGTGCTTGCCATCTTTGTGCCGATGCTGGCCATGAGAGTGGACGTGGGAGGAATCGAACCGCGAGGATGGCGCTAGTATGGCGGCAGCTGCCACCGTAACTAGAAAGCTAGCTCCTCTCTGTGATCGTAAGTTTCCTCTCGGCAATTTTGAATTCAACTATGAAGAACAAGTTGAGGGAACACACTATGACCAACAAATCCAATTGCCCATGTACGCTTATTCGCCATTGACAAATCAAAGCTCTATCTTGTCAGTCAAGAGAATTCCAGGAAAACGCCGGTAAAAGCAAACGAAATGATCGATGAGAGGAATCACTACCACGCAGACGTACCGATTGAAGCCTCTAGAACAGGCCGTAGACGATCTAGAGCGGCGGGCATCGTCGCTCGACGACGACGACTACGCGCAACTCCTCACAGCTTGCATCCAGGAAAGAGATTTGCGTCAAGGCGCCAGGCTCCACGCGCTCATCCTTGGCAGCAGCCACCACCAATCCAACAGGTACCTCGCAAATCTTCTCATCCAGCTCTATGGAAGGTGCGAGCGCGCGGATCGAGCATGGCAGGTGTTTATCAGCATCCACGAGCCCAACAGATTCTCCTGGAACTTGATGCTTGGCGCTTATGCCCAAAATGCGGATCTTGAGGAAGCAAAAGAGCTGTTTAAGAGATATTGTTGCATGGGTCCCTATTCTCACGGCTCATGCAAACCGTGGAAACTTGGAGGAATGCCAAGCATTGTTTGATCAGGTTCCAGAATGGGATGTCGTTTGCTGGAACTCGCTACTTACAGCATATGCCCATAACGGGCATATGGATTAGGCAAGCCAGGTCTTTGATGGAATGCTAGAACACAACATAGTTTCTTGGGCTGTTATGGTTACTGGGTATGCAAGAAAAGGCCCTGTTAACGACGCGCTAAATGTGTTTATGAGAATCCCCGAAACCAACGAACTAGGATGGACTGTTCTTGTCACTACATATGCCCAGCTTGGGCATATTGAAAAAGCCAAGGAGCTTTTTAGTAAAATGCCACACCGCGACTTAATCTCGTGGAACGCAATGCTAGCGGCAACGGCCAGCCTGCAAGAAGCAAGGTCTCTGTTTGATGCCATGCCACAGAGGAACGTTGCATCGTGGTCGACAATGATCACCGCACTGGCGGAGAGAAACCAGCTCGAAGAAGCTCGCATTCTCTTCGATCGAGTTCCCTATCACGACGACGTGGTGTGGATTGCCATGATCTTGGCCTACTCCAACCACGGCCACCTCGAAGAAGCCATGAAGATGTTTGCACGGATGCCACAGCGCGATCTCGTCGCTTGGACGGCAACGGTGGCGGCAATTGCTTTGCACGGGAGTTTGATCGATGCCAGAGCCTTGTTCGACCAAATGCCACAGCACGATCGCGTCGCGTGGAACACGATGCTGGGAGCTTTACATCCAGAGCAATTGCCTCGTCCAAGCGCGGGAGCTCTTCGTGGCCATGCCGGTGAGAGACACATCGAGCTGGAACACGATCCTTGCCGCGAGCGCTGAAGGGGGGAATGTCTTGCACGCCGGGAAGATCTTCTCCACATTGCCTGAACGGAGCATTGTGTTGTGGAGCGCGATGTTTTTTGGCAGCATGGCGATGGAGGGCGAGACGAGAAACGAGATAAGTTTCCAGGGGATTTTCCTGACTTGCAATCACGGTGGGAAGCTCCCTGTGGCACTCGACTACTTTCGATCTATGGTGGCCGAGTACAGCATTTCTCCAAATGTGATTCACTTCCAGGCGATGGCAGATGTGCTGGGACGAGCCGGGCTGGTTGCCAAGGCCGAAGCTCTGCTGCTGGTGATGCCCTTCCAGCCGCATTTCCTCGTGTGGAAGAGCTTGATCAGCGCTTGCAAAGTTCATGGTAGTGGCAAGAATTGCAGCTCGTGCCGCAGAGAAACTCTTGGAGATGAAACCAGGGGACTCTGGAGCTCTACGTGCTCATGCTCATGTCGAATCTGCAAAAGCAGCTGCGTCACATGAGTCCATTTGGCCGGTTAACATTAAAGAGTCAACAAGTATAAACATTTAATTAATAGAATAACAGAAAATAATTATATGTAAATTAAATAAGAAAAACAATTTTAATGAATAAAATCTTGATAATTATTGATATCACTTTCATTAATCGTTGCAGATTGCTCCAAAAGATTGTCAAGAGCCTGCCAGTGAGAAGAGACAATGTAGCATTTACCACTTTGATTAAAGTTGCAGGTGACTGGAAGCAGCCGTACTGAGTCTGTGGTCGAGATGGAAGACAAAGTATTAGGTTCGTGTTTAGGATATTAGCATGGAAGTTCTATGGAACTTTGAATCAAACACTTGTAAAGTTTTGGCAAAGCTAGTAGAGGAATGCTAGAGTGACTTTGGAGATAAGGATTTGAAGGGTTGGAGAAGCATAGGAAAAAGAAGAATTGGCAAACACGGAACCACTTTTACTGGACTAGCTCTCAAATATTCTTTCAGAGATAAGAAATAAGCGAAGCCGTCCCAAGACAACTCTCCAGCGTCCATCTAACATTTTGTGCTGCCTCGAGCTATAAAGACGAGCCCCTCCTGCCTCACAGATCAAACCATTTCTCTCTAATATACAAGCTTACTTGATCTTAGTCTGAGCAGCAAATCATGGAGAACAAGGCTTTCTTGGTGATGTTTTTGGCGCTTGCCATGTTTGTGATGATGCTGGCCATGGGCGTGGACGTGGGAGGAATCGCAAAGGCTGCTGCCCAGCGCTGCCAGTCGGGGTGGTATTGGTATGACAACAGTTGCCACCGTTGCCAGAGGGGTTGGGTCTGGCGCAACAATCGCTGCTGGCGCAACTGAAACCTCCCGTTTCACGGGGTAAGCCCATGTTAAGAATCAACATCATAATTGCCTTTGATTTCATCATTCTGCAGTGCCAAGAAAGAATAAAGACACTGATAACGTGTTTTCTGATCGTGATGAGTTCCAGCAATAATAAATAAATTGTCCAGCTTGATATAAAAAGTCTGAATGTCTCTTGCTCCTCCTCTCTTCTCCGAATCCCTCGACTTCCAATCAATGCATCGCTGGATTGATCGATTGCTCGACTCGATTGGAGCGTCACAACCAGGCCCAGGCACACCCAGCTCACCAAGGCGATGGCGCAGCGCTGCCAATGGATTTCGCTGCGTGCTATGCAATTGGTACGGGTATGACCAGTTGCCATCGATGCCAGCGAGGGTGGCGCTCGAATGGCAGCCGCTGCTGAAGAATCGCCAAAGTTCGCTAGCCTGGCGCCTCGAAGAACCACGGGAGCGCAGTTTGAAATTTTCATGCCCCTGAGACTGTCAATGTGGTTTCTAGAAAGTTGGTTCACTTTTAATATCAAAAAAATTTAGAACGACTCAAATCTACATAGCTTTTGGACTAAAATTTATTATTATATAATATTAAATAAACTAATACATGTTTTTGTCAATGAAATGTTTGCCATCTTAGTCTCGACGTGGAACTTGGAAAAGCAACAAGAGGAAATAAGATGCAGTAGTGGAGACAAAATTTTCAACGAATCTGATCGCTTTCCCAAGACAAAGTCCAGCAATTACATACACCAACCACGTCCCCTCTCTCGATCGAAAGTGAAATGAAACACTTCTAAAGATCGTGAAGATCCAGCAATTTATTTGGATGTTTGTCCTTTTCAGTGGCAGTGAAGTCTATAGCAATGGCACGTGGTGATGCATGAGTTCAATAATATATATTATATAAGCTGTGCCTTTACTCATATCAGCATTATAAAAAGGAAAAGGAATTGACAAACACGGAACGATTTCCTCGACTAACTTTCAAAGGACAAAGTGATGCCGCCCCAAGAGACGTTACAGCATTGTATGCTGACTCCAGCTATAAAGACGAGCGGCCTCACAGATCAAATCACTTCTCTCGAATATACTCGTTGAACTCTTAGTTTTAGCAGCAAATCATGGAGAACCAAGGCTTGCTTGGTGTTGTTTTCGGTGCTTGCCATCTTTGTGCTGATGCTGGCCATGAGAGTGGACGTGGGAGGAATCGCACCTCGAGGATGGCGCTAGTATGGCGGCAGCTGCCACCGTAACTAGAAAGCTAGCTCCTCTCTGTGATCATAAGTTTCCTCTCGCCAATTTTGAATGCATAATTCAACTATGAAGAACAAGTTGAGGGAACACACTATGACCACCGTTTCCTTTGTACTGCACAAATGCAATTGCCCCATGTACGCTTATTCGCCATTGACAAATCAAAGCTCTATCTTGTCAGTCGAGAGAGTTTACTGTATCCCAGGAAAATGCTGGTAAAAGCAAAGGAAATGATCGATGCCAAAGGTTGCATGTGGTGAGATGGGTAGTAATATCACGTCCATGCCTAATAGTCTTGCTGTTTCCAGGACAAGTTTGGTCACATAAGACCTGTGGCCATCAACAATGCGAGTGTGGTGGTTGTATACGAACATCCATTAGGGATTGATTTCATAAAGTGTTCAAGCCAATAGATTTTATATCATTCAAGCTTTCTTACTGATGGTGAGTGTAACTCTTACTTTGCAATCTGCAATCCAATTTTGTATCCTCCACTTGCCTTTGAAGATATAGGATCCAGGTAGCAGCATTCACTGCCACAAGAACAATCATGTGTTCAGTGTTGTTTGGGACAATTCAGTAGCTGAAGCTGACACTTCGGGTGTCCAAAACTTTGACACCTCTAAAACAATTGGCTCAGACACTAGTTTTGTCAGCATTCCAAATGTTATTTGGCTTGTAACTGCTTGGAACATAAGATGCATCAAGATTCTCATAGAATCATGATGCAACTTCTTTGCTTAGGAACTTTGCACGTTGGAGCTCCAAGGCCTCCCCAAGCTTGCTACTGATCTCTGGGTGCCATTTCATGAAGCTACTGCTCCACTTTCTGCTCGGTTCTCTGTCTGTCCAGCTTAGTGCTGTAGATGCCTGGAAACAACAAGAAGAGAAGTTGGTTCTCTTTCTTTTATCTTTTACCTTTTCAGATTGGCTTTCACTGACAAGAGCTGCCTGACAATTTTTCTGCACAACAGGCTAAAAGTGGTTTAATTAAGACCTCAAAGGACTTATAGTGTACCTCTGGATGCAGAACGGGATAGCCTTTAAGAGATGCAAGTGTTTGCACACGAGCTCTTCAAAGTAAGGTTGTACCTTTTGGACCAGCCAAAGAAGTATTTTAAGATTTGCTTCGTGTAATGTTGTTCTGGCTGAGATTTGCAGTTGATGTAACAGTAAATCTTGTGATCGGATCTAGAAAACATGAAAGAAAGAAATGCTTTCCTTTTTACAAGAATGTTCTTACCTCAAGATTCTATTAGTCCACTCTTGAGACTAGTATATTTTAAGTCTATCCACTACAATTATTTTGTCTCAAAAGTCTCCTTGTGTTTCTCCTCCATGTTTAATGTAGTATTTAGGTTATGCTCCCACAATTCTTCACGCATGTGGATCGATAGCCACATAAAGCGATTCGTTACTGGAGCTTTATTCCTTTCTTCTGCAACATTGATTTTGGGATGGCACTTGCCATGTACCATATATCCACAAACAACACTACTGCCACCAACTATTGTTGCTTTGCTCAAATCCTTTATAGTGCCCACCGGTTACAACTCCACCATTTTGTGGAGCACGGAGCAAATCTATTCCCTGCCTCTGTTTTGAAGATCCCGAGCGTGGATTTGCAGGTTCTCCATGCCTTGGTGCTTGCAAGCAGACCTTACCAGTTCATGTTTTGTGGCTTCTCTTGCCTTTCAAACGTTTCCTTTGGTGTAGAAAGGAGTGGCTTTCATTCAAGGAGCCTGCGGTTTAATCCCCAAAGACTTAGAAAGAAATGTCCAGGACACTGCATTAACTTTGACTTATCAAGGTGCGAACTTTTTCTGAATAGCATGGAACCAAGGTGAAGTTCCAGAGATCCAACCAAGAAAGCTCTTGTCTTAGTAAGCAAAGTGTGGAAGCGATGGACCAAGGATGAAGGCCTTTCTGAAGCAGAGAAGTGGTTTGCCAAAGTTCAAGCTTAACAATTTTAAGACTGATTCAGCCAACATTTCTACAAATAAATGCATCAATTTAGAATGCTCTACTTGATTGCTAGACTTTTGATGGGAGATCCTAGACATTCATTTAATTTCAGAAAACTTCATCAAAATAAACCTACAAATCTCTTCAAAAGCCTTCATGGTTGTTTCAGCATGAGATGCAGTTCCTGCTGAAATCTCCACACAACCAATATCTGTCTTAGTTGGAGGTAATTTAGTGTTGGAGCGACTAAAACACCAATATCCCTTTCTTGATGTTATTTCCTTCTTCTCTGAACTTGATGTTCTTATGATCGTTCCCAAAGGCATGGAGCTTGAAACCCATTCTTTACAATTTTGTACCACAAACATCCGAGAAGTACAAGAAAGATTCTGTAAAAATAAAATAATATATAAAAAAGAAAAAACATATGTTTTACCTTCACATATGAGCTTTGTCCA